CACAGCTAGAGGAAAAACAGCCTCTTCCAAAGAAATACGGATTGGCAAGATTTCATTATTCATTCAGCTGATCTTGTTGTCAGAGGGAAGCTTGTACGTCATCAGAATCAACGTGTTCACAGATGTTTGAAAAAGTGCATTCCAGAAGCACTAAGTCACTTCACTGGCTTTCTTCCATGGTCCTGCATAATTCTCTCATCTTGACCTTGCACAAGCTTTCTAGGGAAGGTGTTTTTCCCCCCCCCCTTTCACATTTTCCCTTCTTATCTATTAGATATGGGAGATAGGAGCTGCATTAATTGCAAATCACATGGGTCACTTGTCACACAGAGTACATAAGTTAATGCTTTCTGAGAAATGGCAGCTTGTCTTGTACACTGCTGTTCTCATATATCACGGCTGTGGTCATACTGAAGCTGGAGCAGTCAGCATAGTGAGCTTTTTGCTGGCTGTTCCAGACTGAAGTGCCCTTTCTTCATCATGATTCAAACATCTCTCCTCTTCTCTCCTTACAATGCCAAGCAAAAAATACTCTGGTGTGTGTGTGAGGAGCTGGCAGCGATAAGAATGTGTGAAATGCTGCAGGTTAATGAATTTTTAGTGGAGCTATAAAGGCATTTAAAACACTGCATTGTGGAATTGACAGCACGATTTCTTTGCTTTTCTCATCACAGAGATTGCCTTAGTGACCAGCAAGCCTGAGAAAGTTGCTCCTTCCCGTCAGGATATATTCCAAGGTATGAGAGGAGATCAGTGGGTGGCCAGTGCTTGAAGCAAGGGGAGGATTGCTACAAATGAGGCAGGAGCAACGAGCAATCCTGTCACTGAGGGTCTGTTGTTGTCTTCTCCTTTCTGTGCAGAGCAACTGGCAGCCATTCCAGAGTTTAAGAGCTTGGGTCCATTATTCAAGTCTTCAGAACCGGTGCAGCTCACAGAAGCAGAAACAGAGTATTTTGTCCGTTGTATCAAACACGTGTTCACAAATCACATTGTTTTCCAGGTAAGGGAAATTAAAAACCCCTGTGAGGGTGCAGAATTCTGGTAAAATTGGAGAAAAGCTGTTCAGTGAGACTGACTTGGGAAAAACCTGATTGGAAATGTTTCTTCTGCGTTTGAGTCCTCTTCAATTTATTCTTCTGCAGTTTGATTGCACAAACACGTTGAACGATCAGCTGTTAGAGAGAGTCACTGTGCAGATGGAGCCCTCGGACGCTTACGATGTGATCTGTTGCATCCCAGCACCCAGCCTGCCCTACAACCAACCAGGCATGTGTTACACCCTCGTGCAGATTCCCCAGGATGACCCCACCGCAGGTAAGGATTGCGAGGGAATAAATAAATTGTGAGGGGGAAAAAAAGCTTTTTGAGATCAGGTGTTACAACATTCAGGGTGTGGGATTTGTTGAGTGCATACCGAGGTGCTAGCACTGTTTTTCTGATGTGTCTCACTTGCTGTTATTTATGCAGCACCTATGTTTGTGCAGAATAGTGTGCATGCTTTTGAATTAATTAGATAACCACCTGATATCATTAAGTTAATGACCCGATATCATTAATTAATTAATGATTAATCATTAATTAATGATATCGGGTGGTTAAAAATTAGGTGGTAATGAGGACTGGAGAGCACGCAGGTAATACAGGAAACTGAACCTGTTAGCTTGAGTTAGCGAAAGCAGCACGTTTGAAAACGTGGATGCTTGATATTATTCAGGAACAGACTGTCAAAAGAAAAATGCAAGTGGAGACAAATGATTGGTGGCTTGAGCCTTTGCAAATTCAGCTCATGCAAATTTTCATCTCCCTAGGGAATTGGAAACTACTGTGAAATTTAGAAATGAGTGATTTTCTTGTGCATAAAACTTTCTTAATTTATTCACACGCGAAAGGAACTGTATTGGATTTGGAGCTGATTTAACATGCCTCAGCTTATCAGTGAGGTGGATTTCCTGGTTAACACTTTAACCAAAGAAGATCAGAACTGGTCTGAGTTCACTGCACTGTGGCTTTTGGATCGTAATCCACTGGTCAGAAATCCTTGCAGGGTTTCTGCTGGTGGCTAGTGCTGACCGATTGCACTGCAGCACCCTGCAAGTCATTGGGCCTGGGCCTTGGCATACTCCTCCCTTCTCTGAGATCCTCTTTTAGTCTTCATCTTGGAGTCTGAGGGAAATTTTACATGAAGCTGAGAAGTGCTCTGACCACTGCTGTGTCTGTATCTCCTGGGGGAAAACTAACTTATTTTCTTCTCAATCCTTTTTGGGAAGCAAGGGCTCAGGCAGAAGAAACTGCGCTACTAACCTGTAAGGGCTTTCCTTTTCCTCCCCAGTTGCTTGTACTTTCAGCTGCACGATGAAATTCACCGTTCGGGACTGTGACCCAAACACAGGAGTGCCGGAAGAAGATGGCTACGATGATGAGTATGTGGTGAGTTCGTGACTCTCTTTTTTCCTGCCGCTAATTCCAGCCATTGGGCTGACAGTTTCCTTCCAGACCTGAAACCAGTAGGAGAAAATGGGGGGGGGTCTGCCTGAAATGCTTCCAAAATACCAGAGCTTGTGAGTGATTAGATCCTTACCCAAAAACATGCTTCTGCCAGAAGTTTGTTTAACTTTAGTGTTCTGTGGAGACAAGATTTGTGGGGGTAGACGTGGGAAAGTCTCTCTGCTTGGATGCCCAGTAAAGGCAAGAATGGACTTTGACTTGAAAAGCAATTGCACTGTTTTTTGCACTCGTTTTGGTCTCACTGATAATTTAATGTATGTTTTTAAGCTTTACAGATAACCACTATAAATGCTGATTTTCTTCTCTGCTTTTTAGCATATTACTGTACAATTCTGCTGAAATTAAAGCCAGGCATGCCTGAGTTGTCTTGGCAAAACGCTGCTGTCCCCCTGTCTTTCTCTCTCTAAGATGAGGTTCCTTCCTGTAACTGGCAGCTGAAACTCTCCCTTGCTTTTCTCAGCTGGAAGATTTGGAGGTGACAGTGGCTGATCACATCCAGAAGGTTTTAAAGCCGAACTTTGCAGCTGCGTGGGAAGAAGTGGGGGACGACTTTGAGAAAGAAGAAACCTTTGCGCTGAGTTCCATTAAAACACTCGATGGTGAGATGATCTCTCATTTATTGGTGACCACATAGTAATCCTGTTAAATCTGCCATGGTGGGGAAATAATTGGTGTGGTAGGAAGAAGAGCAGGAGGATTTGGTGCCTTCTAATGTGACATTGTCCCAGTGACGAGGTTTTTTGTTGCAGTTTGGGATCACAGTGAGCAGAAGCTTGGCAGAGCTGTCGTGCTGAGGCTTGTTGAAGGGAAGGGTGCGTTCCTAGGCTCAGGCAGCAGAAAGGACATTGCACGATAGCTGTGAACCAAGATAATGAATGAAAAATGATTAAGCCGTGTGGATGCTTGGAGAATGTTCTTTGAGAACCAGTTCTCACAGAAATCTTGGCGCCGACCTGGAGCTAACTTTCTTTTCTGATCTCAATGCAGAAGCTGTCAATAACATCATCAAATTCCTGGGCATGCAGCCCTGCGAGCGATCGGATAAAGTGCCAGAGAACAAAAATTCTCACACACTCTACTTAGCTGGTACGTATTCACGCTGCTGAGCTCGGTGTTTCCCTGTCCCCATACAGACAGATTCTCACTAAACGAAGAGGAATGGGTTTGGGGTTTCTGCTCTGAGAGTTTCGCTCTAAAAAGCTGTGAGCTGATTGAAGCTGGTGCTGATTTTTCAGCCTGCTGCTGTGGGTGCGCTCGGGCTAGGCTCTGTGCCTCAGCACGGAGGCGTTCTGCCTGTGGCAACAGCAGCAAAGCCTTCCAGAGAACCTCCAGAGAACACACCAAACTCAGTTCCTTGCCAGTTGTTATTTTGGAAGTGGGTTCCTATGAACATCTTGTTTTCAAGTTCCTGCCTCTGAAGACGCATCCTAAATTAGCCTGCAGTATCTACAACTTTTTATTTGCTGGCTGTGTTCCTGGCTTATGTTTCTGGGCAATCCCTGGAAGTTAAGAACTCCACAAAACCTTCGTGCAGTTGTTAAACTGCGATGGACTTCGCATATAATGGTCTGACCGTAGGGCTGGATCTGTTCCAGGCACAGAATGGGTAACTCCAGGGCTCTTTTCATAGAAATATTGGAGAGGGGTGGGAGATGGCTCATCCTGCAGCATGTTGCCTCCAGGAACACCGCTTCTAAGCCCTCTGGAATAAACCTGGGTCTGTTCTTCCTTCGTGGCAGGGGCACTGAGCCAAAAACACAACTGCAGTCAGTGTGCTGCCTTCCCAGACTAAAAGTGACCTTCAGCTGCCTGGTTTCTGCCCGTTTACACCTCCCTAGCCCTCCAGCAACTCGTGCTGACTCCACGTTACTAATTTAGGCATTAATCTGTTACCTTTGGGATTTTTTGGGGTCACTTCGCCCTCCCTGCAGCTGGCCGTAGCCTGTATCTGCCTCGCGCTCACCAGGCTGGTTGTTCCTGGTTTAGAACTGCATCACTTACTGAGCCCCTCATAATAGAAATGTGCCAAACATTTTAATGGTTTATTTTTATATATATTTTTTTTGTCCTTCAGGTGTGTACAGAGGCGGTTGCGACGTGCTGGTGAGGTCGAGGCTGGCGCTAGGAGACGGTGTCACCATGCAGGTGACAGTCAGGAGCAAGGAAGAAACCCCCGTCGATGTCATCCTGGCCTCCGTGGGCTGAGCGTTGCGGCGCCAAAGCCGAGGTGGAAACAACATCCCTTAAACCACCAGCTGGGCGTTCCCCCAGCTGTCACAGCCCCTCTTTCTGCATGTAGTTTTTATTCCTCGATTTGGTAAATATTTTGTATGATGTTACAGTAGTGGCTGGCTGGAACTGAGCCTCTCCCGTGTCCTCTCCTCCCCCTGACACTTACACATTCCCGTCTAACTTATTGCATCTCGGGCCACTTGAGGTAGAGCGGGGAAAAAGAAAAGAGGTAGGTGGTAAGAAAACGGAACTGGATTTTTGTCAAAACTAATTTTTATTAACAGAAAAATTAAACACTGGTCCAAGTGGTTGGAATTCATATGAACTGCTGTTAATAAAATAGAAAACTCTTATTCTAATTCTGTCTGCTTCCCTGTCTTCAATTCAGAAAAATCAGTCCCCGGGGGCTTTTTACTCAGCAGAAGCCCCTTATTCTTAAAGGTTGCTAATAAATTTAAAACAAAGCAGTTAAAAAACACCCCAAACCTGCAGCAAATATAGCTTTTTGAAGATTTTGTGTGAGATACAGGAGACAAAAATCAATGTCGTAGAGAAATTATAACTTCAGCCATGAAGGTTTTTCCTTTCTACTCTGGCCTAACACTTCTCTGAGCCTTATGTCTGGTAACGCTGCAAAACTCTGAAGCTTTTTTGGGCTTAAAGCTGTCAAAGATTGGGAAGGAAAAGGAGAAAAAAAGACCTGGCGGTGATTTTCTTGGGAGGGGAGTTCTGCCACGCATTTCTCTCTGGCATTTCTCTCCTTACCAAGTCAGAGCTGTCAGCATCCTCTAACTCTTAGGCTGATTTTGTCCACGCCTCCCTGCAGGCTCATTTTTTTGGTGCTGCTCCAAGGATTTGTGTGCACGCAGCAGGTTGGCAGCCAAAGCAGCGCAAAGTATTGATCCGGGGATAAAAAATAATCATTTTTTTCCTGCCCCTGAAGCCTGACTCGTCACCAGAGAGCGAGGAGCAGCTCAGAAGGAGTCGATGAAGCTGAGATAGGCGTTGAGGAAGCCCGTTGGATCCTCCAGCTGCGGGTAGTGGCTGATGTGGTCATCCAGCACGGACACCGTGGACGCGGGAAGCACTTTTCTGGGGGAAGAACGCAGCGAGGGGTAAGCACAGCAACCCCAGCAGGCTCCTGCACAGTTGGGGTGCTGTCTGTGGCGTGGTTTTAGCACAAAATAAAACCCCAAGAACTTGTAACAGCTCCACCCGGCCTCTGGTCCACGTGCTTGGACTTTAATTCAGGTCCACAGGAGGAAAAAATCAACTCAGACAATAAATCTTAACTCTCTGATGTGGTTTTCAAATGCGTGATTGCTGCGACTGAGAATTGGGACTTTGATGCCTAAAATTAGGGAAGGATTTCTAAGCTTCCCAACTGCCTGGCTGTGTGGGTTACAGGTGGGGAGAAAAACCAGCCCGGATGGAAAGGGAGACAAAAATCCCCCTCGAAACAAAACCCCAGCTGCGGGGCGGCGCCTTACTTGTACAGCTGGAGGAACTCCGGGTGCGGATTCACAGGGTCCAGGGGCCCGTAGATTAAATGCACTGCAAAAAAACGGCACAAACAGAAGTTTTATTGTCTGAGAACATCCCAAAACGGGGCTGGGGAGGATTGTTGGACTCAAAAACCCCAGGAGGGAGCTCGGGGAACATCCAGCAGGGCCCCAAGCCCTCAGCAAACCAGAAGCCCCAAGAGCTTTTTTCCTCGAGCTTTTTTTTTTTCCTCGAGCTTTTTTCCTAATTTTTATCCCGAGAGGCTCCCACAAGGACTGGAAGGAGCCAGTTCCTGCAGGAAACGGGCCCAATTCCCCACATCCCCTCCCCAAAAACCCCAAAACACCAAATCCTACTCACGGGGGACAGAAGTGGCCTTCAGAGCCCCCACCCAGCGCTCTCTGTGCTTCTTCCTCTGGTTGATGTACTGCAAAATACTGACGGGAAGCCCGTCGTGACCATCTTAAACACCACCAGGTGCTGCCTCCCAGGAGCAGAAACAACCCAAATCACGGCATTTTGGGTTCTGGAGATATTTGGGGGCCGGTGAGCCCTTGGGAGAGCCGGATTTTATTTATTTTTGGGGCCTTATTGCGTTTGGTGATTTGGCTGTGCCCCCGCAGCAGGAGGAGAGGAGTCTGCATGCTGAACAGGACGAAAAACAGCCCCACCAAACTCACACCACCAGCTTGGGGTCCTTCCAAAAACCCCAAAATTGTAGAGAGCCAGATTGAGCTCCGCTTCTCAACAAAACCCCAAAAATTCAAGCTGTGCCCCCAGATTTCTCCCCATCAGTTTCTTGTCCCCACCACACGACATCACCCCACCCCGTCCTGTTCCCAGGCTGCTCCTCCATCACACCCCACATCATTTTTCTGGGGTTAAGCGACCCCAAAAGCCCACAAAAAGCACCTGGAGGCTCCAAGCACCCCATACCCAGCCCTTTAAGCCCCGAGGCGCGCTGCTGGTGCTGACCCCAAAATCTCCCACGGAAATCCCGGCTCACCTGTCAACCACGAGGTGGCCGTCGTTGGTCCTCACCGCTGCCCACATATCCCAATATTCGGCCTGCGAGGGCTGCGTGTAGGGCCCGAAAACGGCCCCAAGCCTGAAGAGGGTCCGGGGAACGAGGGCAGCAACCCCATTAATGCATGGCTCGGCAACCCTACACCATGAATCCCTCGGGAACCACAAATCGTCCCCCAAAAGCACCCCAAAGGGGTCGTAATAGTTGGTGAAGGGATTTATTTGGTTGTGTGCCGTATGGGGAGTGGTTTAGGGTTTTTGTTGACCCCATAAGGTGGAGCACACGTGGGAGAGGAGGATTGTAGGGCACGGAGGAAAGCCACGTGGTTATTAAAGGCTCTGCCAACCCAACGGGAACAGCTCATGGGACCGAGTCCACTCAGATTTGGGGTAAATCGCTACTAGGACAGAACCTGGGGATCCCTCTTTCCAAATTCCCCCAATTCCTGCCTTCCCAAACCCCAAACTCACCCTCTGGAGAAGAAGAAGAAATTCATCAGCCGCGTGATGACGGGCGCCAGGAGGCCCCCGTCCTTGAGGACCTGGGGCAGGGGGAGAAAGCATCGCTCTCAGCATCAGCCAGGGGGGCAAATCCTAAAACCCTAAAAGCATTTTTTCCACCCCACTCACCTTCTGGATGAGCCGGGGCCGGTGCGTTTCGGGGAAAATACCTGGAAATATTTCGGAAAGCAGAACCGTGAGGCCACATCCCCTCTCCTCCCCTTCAGCAATCCTTTTTATTAATTCCCCGTGGCGGAATTAATTAGGGAAGGAGGGCAGGCGCCTGACCCCACCCCGATGGGCTCCAAAACCCCAAATCATCTGGGTCACCTCTCTCCAAACATCACCCCAAAACCGAGCTCACCTCCGTTGGATAAGCAGAGGCTCTTGATCAGGATGCTCCCGGTTCGGTTGTGCTCGTACCTGGGGACAGCCCCACCCCGGCTCAATAGGAAAAATTTGGGGAGGGAATTTAAAAACCCCAAAAGCTGCGATGGGACGCACGGGATCCCCAAATCCCCCACCCGGGGCCGTGATTCGGGACGAAACCCAACGCCCCCCATCCCAGCCTTTTCGCTTTCAGCCATAAAAGCAGGAGGAGGGGGACTTGGCTTTTTGGGGACGCGGCACGGGGGGGGATCCCTATGGGGTTTTTGGGACCTGTGGAGCAGCTCCTGGGCGACCTGTGTCACCAGTAGTCGTGGGACACGAGGTTGATCCCATAGCGGTGGAGGCCGAGGTGGCGCAGCAACCCCTCAACGATGCTGGCTTGCTCGAAGATGGAATAGCGATGGGGTCGCTGCCGAGCAGAGCGGGGCCGTGAGGGCTTCAAAAAACCCCAAATCCTCCAAAATAAAGCCCCCAGTGGAAGAGTTTGGGGTTTAGGGTAGGGATCTGCGAGCAGTCGGGGCGTCCTGGGTTGGTAGAAGCCCCAAAGGGACCCAGGAGTGCTTTGGAGGCACCCCAAAAAACAAGATTTGGGGACACGAGGAAGCTCCTCGCCCCCCCTCCCTTTAAAACATCCCGTTCTTTTTTTTAGGGTTCTTTTTTTAGGAAGGGATTTGGGATGTGAAGGGGAACGGGTTCCTCCCGCCCCGATACTCACGGGCTTGTCGCTGAAGCCGAACCCGACGAAATCCAGGGCGACCACCCGGCGAAAGCGCAGCGTCAGCCCCTCCCAGATCTGCGGGGAGGGGAAAAACACCCCCAAAAATTACGAAAACCCACAAATTTCGCCCCAAAAGTGCCGGGAAAGGAGGGATCCCACATCGCAGAGCCCTTTTTACCTTGTTCCAGTCGTAGCTGGAGGTGGGGAAGCCGTGCAGGAGGACGACCACGTCGGAGCTGCCCACGGCGCCGGCTGAATCTGGGGTGGGGGGCGACAAAAAAAAACCCAAAAAAACAAAAAATGAGGTTTTCAGCCCCAATATCTCCCGTTTTTCCCCCAAAAAAGGGGGTCGCGGGTACCTCTGTAGAAGATGCTGCGCTCCTGGTAGGTGAAGAAGGCCCCGGAGGAGCGCCAGGAGAGCAGCTCCGGGGACAGCCGGGGGGGCGGGAGGTGCAGGTATAGGGCCAGGAGGGGGACGCCGAGCAGCCCTACCCACACCCAGCGCCCCCTCATCCTGCGGGGGGGGCGGCGGGGAACTGTGGGATCGGCCCCACAGCACCCCAGGGCCCTGCATCCTATAAGCCCCGTCCCCAAAAGCCCCATAACCCCCCCCCCGTGGGCTCAGAGCAGCCCCCTAGTCCGCCCCCATAGCCCCAACCCACCGTGGCCCCATAGCCACCCCATCCCCATAAGCCACCCCATAACCCAACAACCCCCCCTGTTGACCCCATAGCCCTCCCCACGTCCCCATAACCCTCCCCATGTCCCCATAGCCCTTCCCATGTCCCCACCCGTACCCCCCCATGTCCCTGTAACCCCCCAACCCCCAATACCCCCATAACAACCCCCCCATATCCTATTACCCCCATACCCCGCTCCATGTCCCCATAGCCCTTCCCATGGTCCCTATAACCCACCCCCATCCCCATCAACCCCCCCAATCCCAATACCCCCCATACCCCTGATACCCCAATAACCCCCCATGTCCCCATAACCCCCCCATAACCCAAAACTCCCCATAGCCCCCCCATTGCCCCCCATTACCCCTATTAATTAACCCCTATAGCCCCCGCCATTACCCTCATATCCCACCCCTTTCCCCCCCAGACGTCCCCCCTAGAAACACCCCCCCACACACACCCCCCCAAGAACCCCCCATTGCCCCTGAGTCACCCCCAACCCCCAACGCCCCCCTACTCATAACCCCCCCATACCCCACTGCCCCCATTACCCCCATGTTCCCTGTTCCCATAACCCTCCCCATGTCCCCATAACCCCCCCCATGACCCCATTACCCCCCATGATCCCATAACCCCCCCCATGACCCCCAAAACCCCCCATTACCTCCCCCATGACCCCATAACCCCATCCCCATCCATATACCCCAGTAATCCCCCCCAGTGACCCCATTACCCCCATCATGACCCCCCCATGACCCATTAACCCCACCATTACCCCATGACCCCCTCCCATGACCCCCCATGACCCCATAACCCCCCATTACCCCCCAGGACCCCCCCATAAACCCCCCTGTCCCCATAACCCCCCCATTACCCCCACGCCCCCCCAACCTCGAAACCCCACCATGACCCCCATAACCTCTCCATTACCTCCCCCATGACCCCATAAAACCCCATTACCCCCATAACCCCCCCATTACCCCCCATGACCCCATAACCCCCCATGACCCCATAACCCCCCCCATAACCCCCCCATGACCCCTAACCCCCCCATAAAGCCCCATGACCCCCTAACCCCCCCATGACCCCATAACCCCCCCATTACCCCCATAACCCCCCCCATGACCCATAACCCCCCCCATGACCCCATAACCTCCCCATAACCCCCCCATTACCCCATAGCCCCCCCATGACCCCATAACCCCCCCATGACCCCATAACCCCCCCCCCATAGCCCCCCCCATGACCCCATAACCCCCCCATTACCCCCAGGCCCCCCCCAGCCCCAGCGCGGCCCCACCTGGAGGCCGGAGGCAGCCCAAGCCCCGCCCCCTTCAGCCCCCGCCCCCTTTCAAAGCCCCGCCCCCTTCAAGCCCCGCCCCCCTTCAAGCCCCGCCCACCACCAAGCCCCGCCCACCGCCTCCAGGCCCCGCCCACCGCCTCCAGGGGGCGTGGCCTCCCCCCAGCCTCGGCGTCTTCCCCCCCCCCCGTTGCCTGGCAACGATTGAGCGGCGTCAGGGCCCGAACGGCGGCGTCCGATTGGCCGCGGTTGGGGCGGGCGGCCAATCGCGGCGGGGGTTGTTGCGGGGTCGGGTTTGGGCGGGAGGGTGAGGCAGAGGAGAGGAGTCGGCGGCGGCGGCAAGATGTCGGGCAGGAGGAGCGGCGGGCAGCCTGAGGTGGGGGCGGGCCGGGGCCTTCCTCCCCTCCTCATCCTCCTCCCGTGAGGCGAGGGGACCTCGGCTGGGGCTCGTTGGGGAGGGTTCGGGGGGAGCGGGGCCGGGTTTGGGGGTAGAAATGCGATTTTTGGGGCTGTGGCGGCCCCCGGGGCCTGCAGGCGCTGTGGTGAGGGGCTGGGGGCTCGGGGCTGGCCTTGCCTGGGGCGGTGGCCGCAGTCTCGTCCCCCCCGCTGTCTTTTGGAGCTCTTAAAATGGTCTCGGAGCTCCTAAAATTGCCTTTTCTGCCGGTTTTTTGAAGGCTCTCAGCCTTCCAAGGGGATGCGTGGCTGGGCATTGACACCCCCGTCTCTTTTTTTTCCCTTTTAAACCAGTATTTAAGCAGGCGCATCCCTCAGAACCCCAAGTACCAGCACATAAAAACCCGCCTCGATACCGGTAAGTGGAACTGGGGGGGTAAAAACACTGGGCACAGGTGTAAGAGAGCACAAATGGATACACTGCCTGGGGTGTTTTGCCCCAAACTTGCCATGTTTTGCCCCAAACTGGCCGTGTTTTGCCCCAAACTGGCCATGTTTTGCCCCACGCAGTCGGTTCAGAACTCTCGTTGCCATTGTTGTGTCTTCCCTTATTATTTACATCAGGTTCTGCTGTGAAGGTTTCTGTATGTGAGCTTTTCTTGCCTTAACTAATAACTTAACAAAGGGATAAATCAAAATAATTACTTGGAGGGTTTGTGCTGAGCTTTTTTTCACTGTAGAAGTGGTCAAATTTTACCCAATTTGCCTATAGTACCCGAAGAGCTGTTAGTAAAGGGGCTGCATGGCCACGTTTGCACTCAAAACAATGTGTTAAGAGGCAGGATTTGGGTACCAAGGTCCTGATTTTGGTTCCCTCAGGCACAGGATGGTAACTTCAGACTCTGTTAAGATACAGAGGCTTAGGTAGTGGCAGAGGCTTTGACCTACAGAGCACCGTGTGCCCCCAGAGACAGTGGGGGCACTTCCTAGTGAGGTGGCTGATGCCCCGTGGCTTTTGGTGTTGGAGAGGCATTTGGGTCATGCCCTCGTTAATATGATTTTAATTTTAAATTAGTCCCAAAGTGGTCGGGCCATTTTACATGATGATCGCTGTGGGTCCCTCTCAACTGAACTGTTTTATTCTTGTGTGGTCTCTTCCTTCAAAACCAAAATGCTGAAGCCTTTGTAGCTTAAGAAAACCACTAATAATTTGTAACTGATGCTTGTTACAGGGTGCAGCTTAACGAAATACATTGAGAAGTTGGAGGAGATCAAAAGAAGTGAGTATCTCGAGTATCTTTTTTCTCTCTCCTGGTAGGACATTACAGATTTAACTTAAGGTAGGAGACAGGCAGGTCTGAGAGGTCTCTTTTCCATATAATTTTAGCACACTTAGTCAGAATATTACAAAAACAGGAGCTGGACAAGCTCCTTCCTGTGTTCCTCATCAGTTTTTTACCAGCACCACCGAGGTTTTGAAGGTTTTGGGTTGTTCAGGCTATTGAAAACCCAGCTGACTTCTGTTTGTGGCTGTATTCCTCCTGAAAATAAGCTTTGAAAAATGTTTCGCTGCTTTATTTTCAGCTATTGTCAGGGTTATTTTCACACGGAGAGCCAGAAAGCTCTTGAACCCACAGGGCGCGTTTATTGAGGTGAAAGAAAACACCTCGTAATTAACGGGGATTAATTAGGATTTTTGAATGCTCGCTTTCAGTTCCTAGACCCGCTTACTGTGCTCCTAAAAACGGGGCTGGGGTTGAAAGGGAGGTCACAGGGTGTGTTCGTGCCGGGCTTCCTGCAGAATGGCCCTTTGTTGCTGCTTGCTTCTGGGAAAGTCAGCAGAGAAATGCCCTCCTTTTTCCAAAACCTGGCTAAAGTTTCAGCCCCCAACGCCGGCTCGCCGTCGCTCTCTATCTGCCCTGGAAATCTTGTTGTGTTGCCTGTTGTTGGTTGGAAATCTCCGCCGCGAATCTGATCTCATCTCGTGCAGGAGATCTCTTGTTTCAGCAGGGTTTTGGAGCCCAGCAGAAGCTTTCTCATTACCGTGGTGCTGAATGGGCACCTTGTGTTCCCAGGCAATTTAGAAACTCCCCTCCCTTGATTTCTCATGGGTAGATGACACCGTTTGGCCTCAGCCTTGGGTACCCAGCACAGTCAGCTCTCTGTTCCTTGGGTAACGTGAGAGAGAGGCTTTATACCGTGAGCCTGCCGTGGAATCAAAAATAAAGCAGCTGGAACCCCGATTATTCGTCCTTTGGAGGGCTGGCTTGAGAGGCACCAAGTCTCTTCCCTTTCTCTGGCGTTGCTGAAGCACGGAGAAGAACTTCTCTGAATATACACCAGAGTAATCGTGGCTTGAGACCCATTTTCTGGAGCAAAATGTCAGAGAACCCAAATGGACTTCCCAGGACAGCACCAGGTACCTGCTCTTGCTTGGAAGTAGCAGCTCCGAGCATTCAAGGGGGTTTGCTCCAGGTCAGGCTTAGGAATAGCAGCTTTTTTTCCGTGTTTCCATCTATTTTTCCCTCTAAATTAAAATAATTTCTTGCTCCTCCACAAGGCTCAAGCTCTTTTTGCCTGTGGATGGGGATTTTGAATCATTTGGTCGTGGGCTACGTGTGGGTTTTGTGTTGGGCAGCTGAAATAATGATTGATTCCGAGCTACAGAGGGAGTTTCTAACAACCTGAGCTTCAGGCTTGAGAATAGTCAGTTTTGCAAGGACCACGAGGATCATTTTGAAGCTATTTGATGTTCTGAAACCTCGTTTTGTCCTTCAGATGTGGTTTGAAATGGACAGCACACGCTGGCTTAGTTCGGATGGGCACTGATTTTGCTCAGACAAATTTAGTGGCACATTCAGTTCTTCGTGGCCTAACAATCATATAGGGCAGGATGTTGAATTTGGGAACTCTCCTTGCTCTGAATGCTGGAAATTAATTGTTTTGCTTCTGCAGAAACCGTATTTAAGAGATGGGAATTAAAAAACTAGGGGAAAAGCTCACAATATCTTAGTGCCTCTTGACTGTGTGCAGGGAGAATCCTCTCCGAGCAGAATTTCTTTCAGGCTGCTCACTGCCCCTTGTACCAGGAAGAAATTCCAGCCTCCAGCATCCACTTGGCTTCTTTTCTATAAATATCTCATCTTGAGGGTTTCCCTGAGCCAATTTTGGGGCTGCTGCTTGCGTGGTGGTTACAGGGGTACGGATTGGAGCCTCTCCCCCTTCCCCCCATTTTCCCTTGGTTAAGCTGTGGAGCATTCAGCAGATGGCAGGGTTTAGAGCTGCTTAACTGGCTGGATTTGGTAAGTTCCTGGGCTGCGTTATCAGCCCTCTTAGCTGAACAGCTGGGGAGAGAGCAGTTGGGAATATCCTCCAGCAGGTATTTAAGATATTAGAAAAACGCAAAGGATTTTTCTTATTTAAAAAAATAAAAACGTGGGAGTTGAGGGCTGGAGCCCGGTAAGCGAGGAGGTGAAAAAGGAGGAGCAATTTTGTGGGTTTTAGGGAGCTTAGGGTGACTGGAGCTTGGCTTTTTGGGGTTAAAGAGCTTCACGCAGAGCTTTGTTACAGCCACCATGCCTGGGACTGAAGGAATCTTGTTCATCTTCTTTGCCTTTCCTTGCCAGCACAGGACAGGTTTTTATTTTTATTCTTTTTCCTTCATACCCTCCCTGATGTCTTCTTTTTAACTATAAACTTCCCAAGGGATGGGCCTTCCATTATCTCCCTGGGGAGGCTCTTTCATATCAAGATGTTCCTACTGATACTTGCCTTAGCTTCCCTCTCCTACTGCACACACCCTCTTGCTTCAAACCTGAAGGCTCCTCTCCTCCTGGTTCTTACACATCTCGAGTATCTCAGTGCTTCCATCCTTGTCATCGCTTCTTTAGCACCCTTAATCCCTGCCAGTTGCTCCAACAGCCCGCTTGGTTTTCAGGCTTAAGAAGACAAAGACACTTCCGTAGAAATGTGTGTTAAAAAATCATAGGAATTGAAATTTGATTGGCAGGTAAAACAAGAAAACCTGGACCATTTTTATCAGTAAGATTAAATATACGTGTATAATACTTGAGCTTAGTAGTTTAAAAAGCTGAGGCTGAGGTATACCCACACTGATTCTGCCAAAATGCATACAATTAAAAATGCAGGTAAATTAAGTCCTTTTATATAAGAATTTGCAGTCATAGTGGGCTTCAAAGAACGACGGGGGGTAAATTCATGAAGCTGACTTCTGAGAACAGAAAGCCCAAACTAAGAGGTGTAAAACTAGAATGTAAAAGCAACTAAATCTGTCTTCTGTGTTTTAATGGTACCTGGACACAATCTCTCTCTGTTAGGAGTTTTCATTAGGCCTTTAGGTTTGCTGCTCTGATCCTTCGGAGCAAGCTTACTGCCCTGAAATCTTACACATTAAGAGCCTACAAAAATAGCTGAGACCAAGCCTGTCACCTGGCATCTGCAAAAGCTGAGAATTGCTTCAAAATGTTCATTGTTCTCTTTGTTTTGTTTTTCAAGATTACAGATACAAGAAGGATGAGCTGTTTAAAAGATTGAAAGTGACGACTTTTGCCCAGCTGGTATGTATAGCTCTTCTCCCTGACTGCTGAAAGCTCCCTCTTGTGAACAGCGTGCTTGCTTTGCTTAATGCCTTCTGTGTAGTTATGTAGGATTTTACAATCTATAATTCTTTTGTAATTGGATTTTCCTGCTCCTTCTTATTTTCCTGCACAGGCCAAAGTTTTCAGAGCAGTCAAACTCCTGCAATGGCAAATTGAAGGCTGCAATAACTCTGGTTTTGAAATTTGTTCCCTGTTTATTTGTTTTCTTGTTTGCTTTTTTTTTTTTTTCCATTCACTTAAGAGGATCTTCAAGCCTCTTACAGAAGAAAAGGACCACATAAAGTAGTATTCAAATCTGATTTCATTGAGCTTTGGGTCAAGTAGCCCCAGCCTGAAACCCTCCCAAACTGCAGTTGTGTCTGCAGAATATGGAAGGTTGAGGCTTCAAAGCTTGCTGTGTAGCTTTTAATTAATGAAGCAAAATATTAAAAATAATAATAATAAATAAGATCAGCAAATAGAGCAGAGTGTTTCTTATGCTGGTTCAAGAAAAACAGTAAAACAAGAAAAAGACAGGCTCAGCAGGTACGCTGAGTTAAAGGCGTTTTGGCTGGAGGATTATTTTTCCTTAAGATGATCCCTGCTGTCTTTCAGTGACACCAGTGTGTGTGTATCGAGGCATTGTTGCTTGCTTTTGTTTGCTGCAGGTCATCCAGGTTGCTTCTCTATCTGATGAAACCTTAGGAGTGACGAATGAGGAGATCCACAAGCTGGAAGGTAACAACATTTATTGTGAGCACAAAGAGAGAGAGCTGTAGATCACTGTCATGTGCTGAACTGTGCCCTGACAGACATAGTTACTCAGCAAGTCTTTTAATCAAGGAGAAAAATGGCATCATCTGTGGCCTGCAGCTGTTTGCAGGCTTGCAAATAGGAAAGACCTCGTGCTGTGTGGTTTACATTTCTATTGAATGCTTAAAAGTGAGATCTTGAGCTCTTAAAAATCGTATGGTTCTTTATTTTTTCCTATGGGGCTCTCAGTAAGTCATTTTAAGAAGAGGATGAAGATAAGGCCGTCTTTGAGACGCACTTTGAGACTAAAAATAGAAACCAGGCTTAAAACCTGCTTGTTTCCTGCAGCATTTTAACTCTTGGTGCCACGTTCTCTTCCCAGATGGCGCTTCTGATGCAGATGCTGAACTCACGGCAGGGACAAATGGGAAAGGAAGCCCCAGTGGGACACCACCCAGTCCAGTCCTGTTCATAAACAGCACAGGAGCTGGGGAATCGTACCGGTCCACGCTGCAGAGGTACCTGATGATAACATTAACACAACTCTGTCTTGGCAGATAACTGGTTTTACCCCACTGGTTATTTTAAATTGCTATTAGTGGCTTTATATTGTTTGTTTTTTTTTCTCATTAAAGCCTGTTTTTGCAAGTCTGAGGATGGAATTAAGATAGAGAGTTATCAGGATTTTCCTATCTGAGTCTGTTTTGAGGTTGTAACCCAACGCTGTTGCCACTTGATCATCTGAATGGCTGACAAAGAAACGTGTTTGTGGGATTCAGCCCAGTTCCCTGGGCTCAAGGATCCATGTTATAAACTGCTCTGGTAAACCCAGTAACATCTTCCCAATGATTTTAATGGGTTGTCCCAAGACTTAGAATTTCCAAACCCACTGCATCACTTGTCAAGGAAGAATTTTTCTCCCTCACCTCAAAGAATGTTCCCTAGTCACTTAGGGTGCTGAGTAAAACACCTGGACTTGACTGATTTGGTCATACAGTGACACTGTACTGTTTATTCTTACACAGATAAAAATGAAGTCAGTCTCTTACAATGTACTGGCAAGCCCAAAATAGATTCTCTCCATTTTTATGTGGTGTCGTGCTCTATTGGAACATAAACAGGCTATAAGAGAAGTTAATCAAAAAATACTTTGGTTAAAAGGTACAAAAGTGTTCAGAGGGAGGCTTGCAGCATAACACCTTTCCTTTTGCAGTGTGATAAGTGGTGTTGGCGAGCTGGATATAGAAAAGGACACTCCAAAGAAAGAGGACGCTGAGGCTAAAGACTTGCCTTACCCCGACTGCCCCTTCCTGCTTCTGGACGTGCGAGACCGAGATGCTTATGACCAATGTCACATTGTTGGAGGTGAGGAGATGGAGTTCCACCACAGCTTGCGTGAGCTGGGGTCACACAGCTCTGCGTGTCGTGCTGGCAGGCCAGGCTTCATATTTCCCCCCCGAAGAGGACATCCCTTGGCTGCAGAACCTCTCTGCACTCATCCAGCACACCCATCCCTCCTGGAAAAGGATGAGGGCACCAAGCTGCTGTTAATCCCTTAGTCAGCAGGTTTCCAAATCTGTTGTTCTCTTACAGGCCCGTGTCAGTTTTATTCCAGAGTGTGAGGGTTATTGTTCAGCAACTGTATGATTTTTTTCTTTTTTTCTTCCTCTGCAGCTTATTCATATCCTATCGCAACACTATCTAGAACCATGAACCCGTATACAAACAGTATTTTGGAATATGTATCCTTTACTTATAAAGTGCTGGAATCAAACAGAAAAATAAGAATAAAATTAGGGGCGTGTTGGCAAGGGCTTTCAAAAACAGCTGCAGCTCTAGCAGTTGCTGTGACCAGGACAGAGTTTAACCATGAAGATCCTGGGACTCCAAGGAGAGTAGGAGGGGAGGGTCTTTCTGTTAGCTGTGGTTACCTGGGGGGGCTCTGCTGCAGCCAGCAGGTGCTGGATTTGAGTTCCTCAGAGCTCAAATGCCTCTTGGTGCCAGTGGGAGCTGCCTGAATATTTTGGCACTTTCTGAGCTTGGCTCTGGCTGCTGGAAGGCAATTCTGTTCCATTTGCCTGTTCCACGCTGTTGCTGGAGTGCTGAGCTTCTTGAGGGAGGCACTGATCAAATCCTTTGGCTTCCTCTCGGTACCTTGATAGGGATTGGCTTTTCTCTGGAGGGCACAAAGAGGATTATTAGCTGGGATTAGGCTGAGAACTTCCCAAATTGGAAGCTTGCGAGGGCTGCAGGGGAGATTTTCAACAAATTGCCTCTTGCTGTTGCCTGTTACTAACCAGTCTTCAAATCAGCACTGAAACATGTCCACAGGGCTGCACTGCAGTGGGGATCAGGCTGTGTCCTTCCAGTGTCTGGCAAGCTTCAGCTACTGAAGAATCACTTTTTAAAGCACAGGTGAAGGGAATGCATTCCTGGTACTTGCAAATCAAAAAGGGAGTCTCTCTGCCTCCATCCCTGCTTGTTTATCTCTTCTTTTTTTGATGGTCACCCTGAGTTTACAAACGAATCCTTAGCTCTACTGCCTCTCAGAAAAATGCCCATGGAAAAATCATAATTTTGTATGACGACGACGAGAGGCTGGCCAGCCAGGCTGCCACGACCATGTGTGAGAGGGGCTTTGAGAACTTGTTCATGTTATCTGGAGGTAAGGGGCAACGGGCACAGGGCAGTGTGGGATGAAAGCAAGGGTTTTGTGAGCTGGAGGGTGGGAATGGATGGATGGTCACCCATTGCTGGTAAAATCCCAAATCTCTCATCCCACCTTAGCTGGTGGTCACTGCTGATAAGCGATCTGTCCGTCTGCAGGCCTGAAAGTCCTTGCACAGAAAATCCCAGAAGGACTCGTCACCGGCTCGCTCCCCCCATCCTGCCAGGGGGCAGCTCCCCCTGGATCCGCCCGAAAAAAGGCTGCTCCCAAAGCGCCACCCACACGTGCTGAGAATAAATGGAGATTGACTGCAGAAGATCTACAAAAGATTAAGTACTACCTAGAAGAGGAGCAGATTCCTTCAGATACTGCCAGTAAGACTCCAGGATGAATGCTAGGATAAATCCTGTAGCCCTTGAGCCTGCCCTGCAGCAGTTCCCTGCTTTGCCAAATTCTTTCCGTGAGGTAGCTGGGAGAAGGAGAGGGTTTTTTTCTCCTAACTGAGAAAGAACTACACTGTGCTGATCCCAAAATCAAATCTTTTATAGCATTATGACAAAATCCTGGTTCTGTGAGGCCTACGATGCTTGAATGCCTTTAGGTTTTCCTGGTTATTTAGTAGGTTTGGCGAGTTCTTAGCCCTTCTGTTCCTGCACAGCTAGATTGAGACTGCCCCAAAATCTGAATTTTTGAAAGGTTTATGTGTTTAGGATAAGAGCCAGACAGCCAGCGAGGGGCAGCAAATCATCTTGTGTTGTGCTCCATCACACACACATTTTCACCTGGATTTCTGATTTTTATTTTTATTTTTTCCCCAGGCCGTCTTAGCCGTGGCTCTTCAGGGCGCGATTCCAAGGCAACGACCGTGAGGAGCAACCCCAGCCTCCCCACCACTGCTGCCAACGTGGGGTCTCTCACCACCCGCTCGTTCAGCAGGAGCAGCCTCCAGAACAGGCCATGGAAATAAGCAGCGGCGTCTCCTTGCACTGAATAAACGAATGTCCAGGTTCTGGGAACCCTGAGCAGTGCAGCCCGTTTGTCGTTTTAGGAATCCACGGGGGAAAAGCAGCGGTGGTTTATAAAAGGCAGCTCGGGTAGGGCAGGGGGAGAGCTGGAGGGGTTGAGGTTTTACAGAAGCAGCGACAGCATCGCGTTGGCAAGGCTGGCCTGTAAGTGCAGTGGCAGGACAGGACTGGAATAACTGATTTTGTAGGGGAGGGAAATAAAACCGGTAGCAAAGCCTGCGACCAGCAGGAACGGTGCTGTGAAACTTGTAGTTCAGGCTAAAAAAAGTTTGTGTCTGTAACAAACGCTCCCTCTGTGCAGTGCCCAGAACTGCAGCTTGTGCTGACAGCAGAACACATGGAGGTCAGTGGGCCAGGAAAGCATCTGTGAGCAAAAGCCTTGGTGTTTTTTTAGCAGAGATGCAAATTGCCAAAATAATGGAGAAAGGATTCCGTGACTTCTTTTTTAAAAAAATGTTTATGAACAGAAGTATTTGTAATAAAGCTGGTTTTGGAAATAATGCCCAGCATGGCACAGTAACGTGATGGTTGTCTTGACTCGTGGGCAATTTGTGAAGTAGTTCTGTATTTTTGAAAGTGAGTCGGAAAGGAAAACAACTGATTCTTCTCCCTTATTGTCAGTCGTTTTGACTTCTAACTGTGCTTTTTCTGCTTTGTTCTTCGCTGTGGTTATGGAGAATGCTCCTGTGCTGTGTTTGGGGCTCTGAATAAGATGAGAGGGTAAGGCTGTGAGCTGGGCAGGGTTTTAGCTGCCTCTTAGAGCAGGATCAGCTGCCGTGCTCCTCTTCCAGGTGTGCAAGCAGAGTTGTCTCCCTGATTCAGCTGCACACCAGTGCTTTCTTTATTCTCCTACTTGGAGCAGCTGCTTTAAGGTTAGGGTGAAATTTTCTTTTGCCCTCTCACTGGGTCCCTACAACCTAGAAAGGACACAAATCTGGGAACTGAGCAGGGCAAGAAGATTTTATAGGAAACCGGTATCACAGCTTTCATCAAATTGGTGCTTTCATCATACCAGTATTGCCTGGGTGACCTAGAAATCACCTGAAACTCATCAGTGAAAAAACTGATGCAGGACGATGAGGAGAAAGCAGAACCGAGGTTGCCTGCGTTTGTAGATGGTTGTGGAGAGATCCTGCTCCTCTTGTCCTTCACCTAGCACTGCTCAGCTTTACCTGGCTTTGGCTTCTTGGTCTCGTGTTTTACTGTGTGCTTATGTCAGAAGGGGAAGAAAAAAAAAGCCAAATGATCTTTAACAGACCCTGGTGCAGGTCACAGGGGAAACTTAAGGTGAAAGGGCAAGGTGAGAGAAATTACAAGGCCAAGTTTATCAGTTTAAGACTCAGCATCCCTGAGGACACTTACCACAACCTCTCTTTGCACCTCCACTACAGCAGTGAGCTTTGCCTTCTGTACCCGTGACCCCTTAAATGGTTAGGATTCGTGAAAGCAAGAGGTTGTGTAACGAGCTGCTTTTCTGCCTCTGGTCTAATCTTTTCAGATTCTTTCACTCCTCTTAGTGACAAATTTTGGTAGCAGAGCAGAACCACAGAATTTAGCTCTGTGCAGTGACCAGCACAAACCTCCCATGCTGTGTAGGGATGCCCTGAGGGGAAGAATAAGGGGAGAAAGGAGGGGCAGAGCCATGTTAAAAATATCCTGAAGGCCTATGCATACTTCAGCATTGAATGCCCGTGTTATCAAATACAGATCTATATTTTTCTAGGTAACAAAAGCCAATTAAAGTGAGGTATCTTAGAGCCCTCAGCTTCCCAGAGAACCCTTAAATGGTTGTGCAAAGCAGTTTTAATTTGGGCAAGTTGCCCTTCCACCCTATCCACACAGGTCTCTTGCATTTTTACAGGGAGGGTGTATGTTTGTACTTAGTGCTGCAAGAGGCAGGCTCATCGAGTGTGAACACCCAAATAAAATAATAAAATTAAAAAAAAAAAATGGGGCTGTCTGTCTTAATCTTATTTCTTCCTGTCCCTGGGAAGCTGAATGCAGCTCTCCATCTTATGAACTGCTCAGCTTTCATAATCAATCACATTCTGAATGAAGCAGCCTGTCTTTGTTGTGTCACCTCTGGGGAGAGAAGAGGTTGTTTAAATGGTCTGAGACCAAAGCAGGAGCTGCAGGAACCTCATCCACACTTTTCTATGCTCTAGATCTAGAGGAGTGGACTCACCTCTCGGCGTTTTAGTTTCTGGCTGATGGTTTTACTGGCTGGATGTCCCCCTAAAGCTTTCAAAGGAATTTGATATTGGAGCATCCTCAAAATGCTACGTCTAGCTTTGAGTGTGGGGGTGTAATGGGGCTTGTACAGCTGCACGTTTTGATCTTGATGTCTTAAATCAGCTGCTCCATGATAATGTCATTGGGGAAAAAAAAATAAAAAATAGATCTAACAGGCAGCTCCTCCAACTACCAGGTAGCAAAATGAGAAGGATCCCAAATCCCTGGCTGCTCTGGGCTGCATGAAAACCTGCTTCTGAAGCAGAGGGGCAAAACTCTCAGAGCTGTTTGCGATCCTCCTAACCCAGGGCAACAAAGCAAGACCCGAACGTGCTTCCTTGTCATCCTACTGTTGATGGATTTGTGTATTTTGAACTTCTGATTTGGCATTGCTTGGAGGGGATGGGTACAGTCAGGCTGTGTATAGCCTGGGGGTTTTAAATGTTTAATAAAAAATAAATGATGTATGGTTGAGTTCTTTTCAGTTTGGAGAGGGTCCGTGGGGGCTGAGGGTCTGCAGGGGCTGAGCTCCCATCACCCAGGGATCGCAGCAGGTGAGGAGAGTCTGTTCTAACAGTGCTGCAAGTTGGTGTTCAACACCAGAAACACAAAATAAATCTTGCTAACCTGCCCTGAGGACATCCTAGAGCCACCTCAACCCCTGGGGACGGTGCACGGCTGAGGTATCTGAGGTCTCTGCTTGCCCAGTGTCCAACTAAGCTTCTCCCTACTCCATCCTCTGCTCCAGCAGAGGGAAAAAAAGCACTTTCTTTTCATGTCCCACTGCTTTTATGTCCTTAATCCCACTGTGGGGCTGCTGGGCCAACGCGTTGACCACCCCCAGGAACACCGAGTCACTCAGAAAGAACATTTCACCCCCCAAAACACTGAAAAAAAAACCCTTTTTGACACAATTGGAAGAAGGGAACCCACAATAAGAGGCGTTTTTCTCCTTCTTTCCAACAATTTATTGCATTCTTCTCTCCAGCTGAGTCAGCCACTGCTCAGCTCCCCTCAGTAGGGGTGTTCGAGTGCGTGGCGCATGATGACCTTCAGTGCCAGCCACGTCTCCTGGGCAGTCGGCACGATCTGGCTGGCGGGCAGCAGGAACCCGTAGCGCCCCGTGTCCCGCAGCTCAAAGGTGAAGGAGTACTTGATGCCCTGATTGTACGTCCAGTCGATGGTTCCTCCGCTCGCTTGATCTTGGGGGAAGAAACGGCAAAAAGGGGTCACTCCGCCTTGTAGGGTCGCGTGGGGAGGTGTCCCCCCTCGTCCTGGGAATTTGGGTTTTGGTTTATGTGGGAGCGGAGCAGCCCCGTTACTTACAGATGGTGGTGATGATGCTGCCGTACGTGTACTTGGTGCCGTACAGAGACGACAAAGCGGTGACAGCCTCCTTGGCCACCTGGTGCTGTGGTGGGGGGGACACAGAAAGGAGAAAGATGAGGTGGGGAAGGCTTGGGGCAGGCTGCAGAAAGAGGTTTCATACTAATGCCATGGGCAAAAACAATGCCAGGAAGGTGGAGTTTCTTGAGGTGATGGCCTTTGAGCTTTTTCAAACTCCCCAATCAATTTCCTTTCACAAAGTCTGATAAAATGAGGGCTAATGGGGCTGCTAAGATGGTGAAGGGAAGATGTATGAGGAGGGGCTGAGGGCACTGGGCATGTTCAGCCTGGAGAAGAGGAGGCTGAGGGGAGGCCTCATGGCGGCCTACAGCTTCCTCATGAGGGGGAATGGAGGGGAAGGAGCTGATCTCTTCTCTTTAGTGACCAACAATAAGACTTGAGGGAATGGTGTCAAGCTGAGGAAGGGGAGGTTCAGGCTGGACATCAGGAAGAAGTTCTTCACTGAGAGGGTTGTCACGCACTGGGACAGGCTCCCCAGGGACGTAGTCACAGCACTGACCCTGTCAGAGTTTAAGAAGCGTTTGGGCTGTGCTCTCAGTCCTATGGTCTGAATTTTGGGGTAGACCTGTGTGGAACCAGTAGCTGGACCCGATGATCCTTATGGGCCCCTTGGAGGCTGCCCCTTGGGGGAGGCCACCCCTCGGAGGAGAGCAGCCTCAGGGTGCCCAGGCCCCCCTCAAACCTCCACAGCAGCCCCTACCAGTTCCTCCACGTCAGGCACGGGGGTGGTGGTGTAGCCGTAGGGGTAGAGCAGGAGCTGGGAGTAGCTGTGGATGGAGACGAAAGCCTTGATGTTCCCGTGGTTCTTCACGAAGTTGACGATGGCCTCCACCTCGGGCTCCGAGTTGGCGTAAGGCCCGTGGTATGTCTCCGAGCAGGGGCTGCTGCTGGACCCGGACCCTGTGGAGAAGAGGACGGAGAAAATTCAGGGTGGATGGCTTGGAGAGCCAAAAGAGCAAAGGACCCTTCACCATTTACAACCCCAAGAGCTTCTCCCACCACTTGGCTGCTTGGTGGCCAAAGAGGAACACTCCTAGGGCTCCACCTAGACATTTGTACGACGGTTCCCATTTTGTGGTTCCTTCCCTACTGGTCACTAGGGGACACCAAAGCCTTGGGAGAGCCCAAACCCACTGTCTTGGCCAAGGAGAGCAAAGCCCAGCCCTTCCCTAGGGACATCAGAGAATCTCTCCGAGTCAGAAATGTCCTGGAGGGTGCAACCACCCCTCTGTGGGGTGAACGGGATTGCTCTGACCTCCAAAACCTGCGTTCCAGTTGCGGTTGGGGTCCACGCCGACGCAGAGGGAGCCCGATCTCTTGGACCTGGTCTTGCGCCACATGCGGTTCTGGAAGGACAGAGCCACCTCAGCCCGTGCCCAGGGCTGGGGCTCCGCCAACCTTGGGCAGAAAAGCCAAAACAGTGTCCTGGGAGGGGACTAACAGGTCACAGCTGTTCCCTTCCCACCCCATGGAAATGTGGACAAGGAGACCTGGAGCTTGTGCACTGCCCCCATCCCCAGCCGTACCGAGGTGTGGGTGAAGACGAAGCCGTCTGGGTTGGTGACAATCTCCAGGAAGATGTCCATCTGGTCCAGGATGGAGGCCAGACCTTCATCTTTCTCCTGATCTTGGACAATCTACAGATGGGTGGCAGTTTGGGGATTGCGGGACCACCATCACCTCCATGGGGATGGCCACGCCGTAGCCGGGGAGAGGGGGAAAGAGGGGACCTTGTGGCCCTTTGGGGACATGAGACGTGGCCAGGAGGTGCCCCTACCTTCTTGGCAAACCAGACACCGCTGGCTTGTGTCACCCACTCGCGGGAATGGATGCCGGTGTCGATCCAGATGGCCGGGCGGTTCGTGCCCCCTTTGCTGAACTGCAAGAGAAGAAATGGGGCCGTGGGGGAACCACCCGTGGTCCTGGGACCTGCTCACCCCCACAAACCCCTCCTGCCTTGCCTTGAGCACGTAGAGGGGGCGGTTTTCTGTCGACCGGCCGATCTCGAGCTTGCTGACCAGGTTGGGGTTTTCAGCCACCAGCAGGTCCATGAAGGCGTAGATCTGGGGGTGGGAGAGGGATTGGGAGGGCAATGAACGACCCCTGCAGTTGGAGCAAGCCCCTTGGCCAAAGCAATTCCAGCACGTTATTATTATTATTTGTTTTTCCCCAAAAAAATGCCCCAAAACTTGTGTTTTCCCACCCACAGGGCGTCACCTCGTCCAGGTTGTGGTAGCTGCTGTAGTCGAAGGTGTCGGTGGAGAGCAGCTGGAGCCGGCGGCGCTGGCGAAGCATCTGCATCTGCTCCTGGTCCACCAGCGCCTGGGGGGGGACACGGGGCAGGCTGAGACCTCGTCCCCCGCCACGCCGAGCCCCTCGCCCCCCCGCTGCCACCACCGCTGCTGACCTGCACGTCCTCGATCATGATGGAGTAGGGGACGCCGTTGGCCTCCAGGTGGGCTTTGAGGGGCTGCAGGCTGGGGAAGGGCACGCGGACATCGACCGGGTCCCCGGTGCCGCGGGGGGACAGCCAGAAATCCAGCTGGGAGGGGGAGAAAAGGAAATGGGGAGGGGGTGTCCACCCATGGGACAGCATCGCCCCCTCCCCAAGTCCTCTACCCTGAGAGGTTTCAACCCCTCTCCATGTCCCCTAACAGCACCCCAAAATAGGGCACGGGCACCCCAAGGAGACATCACCTCTAACCCACAGCCACCCCTGCTCTGTTCTGTGGGTGCAAAGCAGGGGAAAAAGGTAAAGGGGGGGGCGAAAAACTCCCCCACCCCACACTGCAGCACCCGATACCTGCAGATGCTCCAGGTCCTGCAGCTCCTGCACCTTCCTCAGCTCCTCATCGCTGCTGGGGACGATGCGCAGCACCTGGTGCCTGTG